AATTCCTGAAAACCTCAATTGTACCTGAAACTTATAAGGAATCTAGCAGAGTGTATGTTCTGATAAAAGGGATTCCTGTTCAGGTAAATGCGTGTAAAGTTTCTCCATTGGTATTGGTATTCTGAGTGAGAAAGATAAAATATTCCCTGCACATTTAAAGCTTTTCTACAGTGTGTACTTTCAAGTGTTGAACGAGAAAAGATTTGTAGAAAAAAGATTTCCCACATTCAATAAACTCATCAGGTGCCTTTCCGGTGTGTATTCGGTGGTGTCTAACGAGAGTAGAGCTTCTGCTAAAGGACTTTCCACAATCACTACACTCATATGGCTTTTCTCCAGTGTGAACTCTCTGATGTTTATTGAGATAAGAGACATCCTTGAATGACTTCCCACATTCACCTCACTCATATGGTTTTTCTCCAGTGTGAACTCTCTGATGTTTATTGAGAGTAGAATTTTGCCTGAATGACTTTCTACAATCACTATACTCTTATGGCTTTTCTCCACTGTGAACACTCTGATGTTCATTAAGAGTAGAGATTTGCCTGAATGACTTCCCACATTCACTACACTCATACGGTTTTTCTCCAGTGTGAACTCTCTGATGTTTGAGAGCCGAGGTTTGACTGAATGACTTCCCACATTCACTACACTCATATGGCTTTTCTCCAGTGTTGAAGCAGGGGGTCCCGCGGGGGTGATGCCGAACGGAGTCCTAACGAAGCATGCCTGACTCCGGGGACCAGTTCAGTGACGCAGATCCCACTTTATTGTGTGAGTGCAGCAGTATATATAACATCCCAGACCAATCAGAAGTTTACAACATCCATAGGGCAACCAATAGTAGGAAAGATCAGGGTACTATGTAGTGGCTCTAGGAGGTCAGCTCAGGCGGGCAATGCCACTTCTTGGTGTGCCGAGGAAGCTTGTGCAGGCGGAGTGTGCTCACGCCATTGCATCTGCCGCAGCACTGAGATAAATCTCCTGAGCTCTCCCTACATCTCCCCCTTCTTTTCTTATTAGTGCCTGCTGGACGTGTATGATCATGGCTTGCTGAGCACTTAGCTTATTGAACATGTTGTATAAACAGCGAAATAATACTATTCCTACGACGAATCCTACTATCACGACTCCCCAGATGAGGAGGTTGGCTGGGTTTAACCAGGAGGTTAGACGGCTGAGGGCATCACTTAAGAAACTAAACTCAATGGGTTTCACTTGGGTATTATTGCATGAGGTGCTAGGTATATCCACCCTTGTCCCGGGGCAGTCCCATTATCTAGAGTTCACTTAATGAGGTTAGGGCTACTGCTATCAGCCCATACAGTCCCGTTCTATGGCAATGAGACCAGTTCCGCTCCATCACAGGGTAAGCCCACAGAGCAGTCAGACACTTGGACAGCGGGAATTGTAGGCTGTTGGCGCTGACAGGCATGAGCACCCCTGG